GAACGAAGATCAGATGGCGACATTTAATCAGCCGGCACTTTTTCGAAGTGGAAGAGATTCTCAGTTCATGCAGTCGGTCATTAAGGGCTAGGGAAAATGCTTGTTATCAAACGAAGTCTCCTCCCTCCGCTCTGCGGGTTTCAAGCTCGCCTGTGGTCCGAATCTATCCGCTACACAGTTTAAACTACTAAGGACTTATTTATACGTAACCTGCTGCCCGGTTACCATTTACCCTTACACTTGTTTGTTAAAAAGCCTGGCTGGCATCGCCTGCTGGCTAGAGAAGCTGATCGGCATACCCTGCTGGTTAGTGTAGTTTGTAGCCATCCCCTGCTGGTTGGGGTAGTTGGTCGTCATCGCCTGTTGGCCCAGGTACCCGTTCGGAATCGCCTGTTGGCCTGGAAAATTGTGCGGCATCGTTTGTTGAATTGGAAAACTGTTCATTATCGCTTGCTAACTTGCAAAATTGTTTGGCATTGCTTGCTAGTTCGCGAGGTTGTGAGGCATCACTTGTTGGTTCGAGAAACCCTGAGGGTGCGCGAGCCCCTGGAAGGGGCTCTTGCCGAGCAGCGACCCGCCGCCGCCGCCGCCGCCGTTCCCCATGTTGGTCAGCTTCTCCGCAAACCTCACACCCATATCTCCTCCACCCTGGCCGCCGGGCGCCTGGGGATGATGCGCTACGTTCTGCTTCAGGTAGATCCTCTCGTCGGGCCGGTAGCCGTCGAAGCGGAAGCTTATGCGCTCGGCCTTGTAAGCGTTGGTTTGTTCCTTAATGCTCCAGATGTAGTGGTTGAACTCGTTGGACACTTTGGAGACGCGCTTAAAGTGCTCGCGCTCGATGCGGATGCAGCCGCCACTGCCGCTGTGTAAGGGGGACGTGCCAGAGTACCGCTCCACTACATAGACCAAAAGATCCAACAGTTCAATCACTTCGTGATTGAACCCTCTGGCACCACAGTATATCAAGCCCCGAAGCCCCTGTAGCCAACGCTCCAAGCAACCCCGTTACATATTTTAAGAGCAGAACGTTTATTTGTAACAAATAACGAACTGCCGCCTTTACCGCAGATATTTCCTAAAGGCTGCGTGGCATTAACCTTCCTTGGCGTATCCGGGTTGTGCTATTGAGGGAGTAAAAGCGCTAGGAGCATATTTATCGTTTTATCCAGGGATTAAAATACAAGTAGGTGTGTAGTGTGTAGGGTGGGGTGCAGTAAACGGTAGGGGAACGCTTGGCTGGGAGCAAGGGGAGCAGAGGCATCCGTTTTTGGAGGCCTGGGATTTCATTTGCTCTCAAAATCTCCCAGTACTAAAACATATAATTCTCTTGTCGTGCCTAATAAGGTTGGCCTTAATCGTTCGGAACTTTCGGCACTTTACTTGGCCTCCCGTTGGCTTGCTTGGCCACGTTCCTTTTTTGGAGGTTGAGTTGGATGGCTGCCGATAACCCGAAAAACCGAGAGATTCGGACAAGGTTCTTCGGTGCGCGGAAATCCACGAGCAGAACTATGAGACGAGAGGGGGTTTGTGTGTGTGCCTCGTCTTCTCAACCTGATCCCATGTGCACTGCACCGCACACACACAAACGAAACGCCCTTTTCGGATTCCCGCTTTTGGAGGGGATGTCAAATTCGTCTCGACTTCACACACACATACCTTTGGACTTCCTTGTCCTGGGGCCGCTTGGTGATGATTTCAAATCCACGCCTAAGCAAAGGTCGAGCCCCAGGAACCAGGCCCAACCGGCGGGTTTTCCCTCCAAAGCCCCGGTCGAGATGCGTCTCGCCCAACTTTTTTACGTTTTATGCTGAACGTCTGGCGCGCACCCAGACATGCAAAACAAGCATTTCTCTACCCGCACCAGGGGGGCCACACATCGAGGCCCCCGGCAGTGTTGGTCGGTCTGTTAGCCCAAGTGCTAGGTGTCCCCCCAAACCAAACCCAAGGAGGGAAAAAGAAATCTCCGAGATGTATCGAACATGTCAAGATCTGGTCCCTTTTTAACATACTCCCAGAACGCCTAGCACTTACCTGCCACCTGCACTTGCCGCTCTTTTTTCCCAAACCGGACTACTTCTCCGTTGCCGGTCACGTTTTTTCTTCACCCACCGTCTCTTTCCAAACAAAGCTTGTTCGGACGATCACCACCCCTAAAAAGGGCCCTGCGCCCTACTGTCCATCGTGTTGTTACCGTGTTGTTTCCGACGGGCTGGCCCGTCGGTTTATCTATCCTGCGCCGAGCTAGAGCTGGGTGGCCGGTTTTTTTTTTATGCCGCCGGGTCAGGCCGGTTGTGTTGGTGCTTGAGACGCCGTCGTCCGGCCCTTACTAGGGCGCGCTTTCAGAGTCTTCGTGCGCCTTCACACCAACAGCTTCGAGGACGCGCGGAAGCAGCGACTCCCCAAAGACGTGCTGCGCCTTTGTGCTCGTGCCCGGCGGCCTGGCCATCGGGCTGCCGATCGAGGACCGCCTGACGGGGGCGTCGACCCCTTTCAACATCACCGTCTACGCCCCTGGGCGCTGGCAGGCGTCTTGGTGCTCATTAGCAAGGCGGTATGGTGGAGGACTGGTCGTGGTGCCACTTTTTGAGCAGTGGTCCCCACTTGTTGTTGAAGTCGAGCCTCACGCGACTACAGGGTGGCTCAAGAGGCAGAGCGAGTCACAGCTCTGGTCCTTCAACCAACCAATGCAATCGAGATCACCCCTCCAAATTCAACACTTGTCGCCCCATCAGAACCGTAGCTGTACCACCTGCAGAATGCGAAGTCAAAGAGGGCGCCAGAGGATCTCATGAACAGCAATGGAATTGATCGCGCTGCACGCCGCTAGAACTACATCTGTATATGAGGGGGGAGGAGCTTGTCGCTGCTAGATCGGAGGCGGCGCCTGAATGATCCGCATCGCCTCGATCAGTATCTCGTGTAGCTCCTGCTCGATATAGAGGCGCTCCGGGTGGTCCTGTCCCTGCTGTCTCTGGTAGGTCAAGAGTTCGTTCTTGGCCGCGGCGACCCAGGCCTCGATCCACCTCCGGCTGTGGTCTGCGGCCTCGGCCCAGTAGTCTGAGTCGAAGGCGTCAAAGATGGCCGTGAAGCCCGCCAGGCTTTGCTCCGGCTGGCCCGGAGCCCTTGGCGGCGCGTTCTGCCGCGTCCAGTTCTCCATCATGTTGATCTCCCTCCGCAGCCCCCGCCGCGTCTCCTGGAGCCGGGGCAGCACCTCGTCGTGGTGCAGGTACCGCCACACCGAGAGCACGTGCCGCAGGTTGCTTATGAACTCGGCGTTGGTGTTCAGTGTCCCGCCCACGGCGATCAGCGCCTCCATGTGCTGTTGCTGGACGTTGCTGTCGACTGGACTTGTTATGCCTGTTCTCCTGTCCGTGGCTCTGTCATACAGAGTCCCGAAGCACCGTCCCTTGAAGTTGTTGGTGCTCTTGTCGGCGAGACGTAACGGAGACTGGTTCCTACGCGACCCCATGATCTCAAACAGCCGGTCGTTGGCACAGGCTGGATTCCAGCCCTTTCTGGGATCATCGTAACTGTCTGGCGTAACCCTCCCCAGTGCGAGCGGGTCGAGGGCTGTATTGTCCCTTTCCCAAAACGGCCTGAAGATGGCATGGTTGATTGTGCGAGTTCTTCCGGGCTTTTCTTCCTCGTCATCCGAGTCATCCGAGTCTCCCGGGTCTTGCGCGTTTTCGTCGAAGCTCGGCAGTTGCCCGCTAAGGACAGTATACAAAAGGTCGCGAAGGTATTGGAGCTATTTGCAAGTTAGTAGCTGTGAGTAAAATAGATAAAAAGGAGTTACCCCTGCTATTTAGCCAAGCACGGCTGCTGCAAAACAGGCTTACTCACTTCGACGACATGATCATTTTCGTAGCCAGTGTATCTTGACGGACCGGTCCCCACGCTGGTCATGGTCGACTGCACATCAAACGTCTCTATACTGCCACAACTTCCTGGGGTTTGGCTTTGCCTGAAAAAGAAAAGAAACAGTTAGCGCTGGATTAGGAAGGAAGCCATTGCAGATCAAGAAATGGGAAAGACAGGAGCATCCATGTGGCTCTTCTCATTCTTACCTGAGGCCGGTTGGATGCACATTGGGTTGTGGACCGTTACCGTACGAATCATTTGGGCCAAAGTAGGATCGTGACACGAGGCGCAAGAGAAGTAAAATGCCATCTGCGGCGCGGAACCTGGCCTCGAATTTTCGTGCTTTGCCGCGCTTCTCCAGCAAGGCCCGCCGGCCGATGTCGTCATTGGTGGCCTCCTTGGGCTCCCTAGCAGCCTGCTGGCGCTCATCGACGGTCCGTTTGCGCCGCTCAAACTCTTCGTCATCTGACCCGTCGTCGCCGTCGTCGTCCGGGCACTCGAGGGGGTGCAGGTCGCAGTACGGCCTACCGCAGACCGGCACGTGCTTCTTGGGCTCGGGGGTGCAGCACAGCGACTTGTGACGGCCCCCTGTTGTTGTTGTGGGTGCACGGAGCCCCGGCCGTTAGCCAGGTGCCCGTGTACTTTTGGCGTCCCGCAGCGCATGTGAGGAGGAGGATCCGACTTACAGCCACACGAAGTCCCACTATCGCCTCTGGAGCTGGTGAGGAGCGTCACCTCTTTGTTGTTGCAGGAGTTCTGTGCAAGGTTGCCGGATCAGCGTCCGTGTCGAGGTCATGGGATGATGCATTGAAAATGCTGCTAGGAGAACAAGGATGGCGCGTTTTACTCACATCGGCGCAGTCTCCCTGGCCCACCCAGTGGCAGTTTGAGAGCTGCTTGCGCGAGCAGCAGAAGCTCGAGTAGGTCGCACATCCTATGCCGTTGCTTGATATGACCTCCCGCTGGATAACCTCCTGACCAGAGGGGCATTCGGGCTCACGCGAACTGGAAGACAAAACAAGTGTCAGCCCTCCACAAAAGGTACTTTGATATAAGGGAGGGGGGGATGGCACGGTGAAGAACAAGACCAACCATGAGTACCACTCTCTCCACGCACAGCCCTGAGTGATTGTCTCGTAGCCAGGATGCGTGCAGCAAAACGACTTGTGGCCACGCAAGCACGCGTTGCCGTCCGAGTCCGTCCTGTAACCGCCGCCAGTCGACGAGGTGAACAGGTTAACCTCACCCGCGGCGCAGCGGCCGTTGCAGTCGGATCCGATACCGATGTTGGCCCTCCACTGGCAAGACTCCGGCGCCACTTTGGACTTGCAGCAGATGGGCTTCGCGGATATCGTTCCGAGGGCGGAGCAGCCCGCCAGGTCGTAGCCGACCATGGTTTCGTCAGACTGGCACTTGGAGTTAGCGGGCTTGCCGTCGTTGAGATCGACGCATGAGTTGACCATCCTGCAGCTGGTGGCCAGGTCCGCCTCTAGCCTGGCGATGTCGTCCGTGATGTCGTCCCCGATGCTGGGGAGGGCGATAGTACTGTGCGGCTTTTTGAACTCCCTGGCCTCGAAACGGCTCAGCTGGCTCCAGTATGGGTGGAAATCCACAGCCTGGTTATCCTTGGCCGTGACAAAGCCGCTATCCGTTTTCATCATGTTAACGGCACCGATAGTAACGAGATTATGGATAACGATATCGCCATAGTTTTGAGCGATCTCGGCCATAGTCCTTTGGCAGCTGGATGTTGCCAGGCAGTCCTGGGAGTATGTCGAAAACCAAGAGTAAAGCCCGGCGCCCAGGATCGTGATGTCACTGGATTCAAGGATCCGGAGGCCCCAGCCGGAATCACAAGGGTTGTTTGCGGTACAGAGGAAATCAGGGTCGCCACGAAACACCCCAATCGAACGCTCAAAAGGCTGGGGTGCCGCGGGGGTCGGTTGGTAATAGGGTTCTTCCGTCTGGATCATGCCTGCTAAAACGTTGGCCGCTTTGTAAAACTCGTACTGGTAGTAAACGGAGTGCTCTGAAGACGTGCCGTAGAGCCATGTGGGCTTGGTGCTTTCGACGAGCATCCCCCTCGCGACGTAGATGGACGTTTGCGTCTAGACGGGCAGCCAAGTCAGCCAATGGCCCAATGCATCAGAGGGAAAGTGCGTCTCGCTGCTCACCATTTTGTTAATATCATCGTCCCAATCAGGGTCGTCCAGGTCGTGGTCAGCCACCCACAGCCAGGCGTTTTCGAAATAGCCTGACCCGCTCGGTGTAATGTGCATCATCATGCTGCCTCCCTTGCACCCGGGAGCAATGCCGGCCCTCAGCGGGGGACACTCTCGAGATGTAAGTCCGCTGCCATCTGTACCACCCACTCTGATGTGGCAGTCCCAAATGCCGGCCCTGCCTGGCCCTTCGGCTTCCAGATTCCACTGGACGAAGAGAGCCCCGGCTGTTTCTCCCTTGGAAGTGAAGATGAGGTCCTGCAGCTCAACTGTGCCTTTCTGGCCCGGTCCGCCCACCTTAATAACCGGCCGTGGGTTCCTGCATCAAAAGTTTGGTTAGCAACCCACGAGTCCGTCGCCAAATGGCGAGATGGGAACTGAGGAGGGAGGCATGAATAACACTCACGTCTCATCCCCAAAATTGGAACCCGTAGCCGCCAGCTGGGCCCAATTTTCGCCAACGATTCTCGAGCCCGGAGGGATGGTGAGGGTATCGGTCAGGATGTAGGTGCCAGCATCGACAAAAACGATCTGCTTGCCCGCCGCGCCGTTGATAACGTTTTGGAGGCACTGCGTATCGTCCGACACGCCGTCTCCCTTGCAGGACGCCTTGGCGCTGACAAAATCACCGGCAGAGGCCTGTTCGTACTGCGGCTTGGGTCGCTCGAAATAAGGGTTCTTGGGGAGACCCAAAGGATTATTACCATCAGTAAGCGCCATGGACCGGGGGGAGGTCGTCTCCTGGATCAGGTCTGTCCCTAGTGTCTTATTCTGATAGGTCCGGCCGAGGACCCAAAAATCGATGGACCTGGATCCACCATCAACGGGCGTCTTGCGGACCGAGGACTCGCCGTCGCCGTTCATCTCATCAATTAGCACCTTGACGTTTTCCAGCTTGACGTTGTCGAGCGTCAGGCCAGTCGTGCCCTTGCCGAGTTCCTTGGTAGGTTGGAACATGGCAACTGCCGTATCGGTATTTTTGATAACCGAATCGACGATCAGAGCACCACCGATGCCGCGGGATTTGTCCTCCGAAATAAGCTTGAAGGCCGTGGACGAGCCGTCAACGACGACCGATTTCCATGTCCAGCCCCAGTCCCAGATCAGTTGCACGGCAACACGGCAGTTTTTGAAGGTAATGCGCTGCCCAGTGAACTGCTGGTTCCCGCCATCTGTGTTCAGCCTTTGTTAGCCCGCAAAGGTCCAAGTCTGGTACAGATCAGATAACACTTACAGATACCCCATTTTCCGCCGGTGAAGGTGAGATCGCTCATGTGGCCACCGCTCCCGTTTTCAGCGACTGCAATTCGCATAGAATCGTTAGCACGGCGGCCCTCTTGGGTTGCCTGCACACTTACAGACCATCGATTTCGCAGCTTGTAACTTACAGATGGATCTTTGCTCCGCTTCGGACGAGGCTTTGAAGTCAACGTATTGCAGACTTGTTGCCTGAGACACCTGGTAATGGAGACCGGTCATCAGGATCTTGGGGTGAGCCAGGGTGATGTCGATGACAAAGTTGCGGATCTGGCCCCAGAAGATGCCCGTGTTGATGTGCCAGGCATGATCTTGCTTGGCTTCATCCTGCTTATTATCTCCGTAGTATCTGTTCGTCGAGAAGATACCGAGTCCGACAAAGAGCCTTGTCGCCTTCATGACTGGGCGGTTGTTGGGCTGTGGGAACAACCGATGGCATCAGCACATGTCAAGCAAATGTATCCCTGATGCCCTTTGTAAACTTACGTTCCCGATCAGCTGAGTCCCATAGTGCTTCTCGATGGTGGAGCTGACGAGGTAGGTGCCAGAGGGAAAATAGATGATGGCGCCATGTTTGGTGGACGAGTAACAGCCATCTCCACACATTTTCCCGTCCTCGATGGCTCGGCGGATTGCTTTCGTGTCATCCTATATGCGTTTCGGTCAGACCAAGGCCCAGCTACTAAAACCGTTGCTCGAGGAAGGGGAAGCTTAATCACCGTTACGCCGTCACCCTTGGCGCCATAATCCTTGACATTACGGAACACCTTGAAGTCCGGCGAGTTGCCACCCCACGGCCACGACCCTCGACGCTGGATCGATTCCATCCAGAAGCCGCTGTCTTGTCGCGTCTCCTTGGCGCCGGCAGCAGCCAAAGTATCGTTGAGGCCGACGAGGTTCTCGCCCAGGGCTTCAGCCTCGGCAACAAGGGCCGCCGCATCAGCAATCTCGTCCGTGATGACGAGAAGAGGCGGGGAGGCCTCGCTGTCGTCACGACCAAAGATCTTGGTGCCCTCCTGCAGGCCATAGTTGTTCCTGCGCGGGTTCTCGAGACGCTTGCGGTTCAGGACGTTGGCCTCCTCGATGGCGCGCTCGACTATCTCTCTTGCCCGGCGAAGATCGGCCTCGGTGGCGTTGTGAAGTCGCCCGGGGGTGGTGACATGGCCGGTGATGGTCCCGGTCGAGACGTTGGCGGCGAGTGTCCTGGCACGCAGCTGCCTATGCTTGGAGGCAGACCAGACGTGAGCGGGAGCCTCGTCGGCAAAGAGATCGGCTGGGGCTCGGTGGTGCAGTGTCCCCAGCACGCCGTCGGCAGCTAGAGCGGCCAGGACGGCGACGAGTTGGAAACGCATCCTTGCGGCTCAGGCAAAAGACTGCGGGAAAGCACCAGAGGCCGTTGAGCTGAGAAGATGAGGCATTCCCTCCAGCCAGACGCCCAGGCCGGGCGGCCATAGATGTATAGATAGATGCATGCGTGATGGCGGGTCCATAACCATGTGTAGATAGACACGTGCCTGATGGCGGATCCATGGCCATGTATCTCGTGAGAGTCAAAACAGGAAGGACTCGGGAAATCTTTGAGGCGGTCAACTCGGTTGTGCATGAACCAACAGTTCCTGCAAAGCAACCGAGGTGGACCGGCTCCGTCGTGAGAGACCGAAAAAGAGGATACATACATACCTACCAACTCGGAGCCATGTCCGCGGCCGAGATTACCAACAGCCGTCAGGTGCGGGCCTTTCCGCTTGCAAACTCGCGCACACCCTTGTCGCCAGGCATCTCATTGTGTTATTCGGGGCGCCAAGCCCCCTGACCCGTCGCTCAGTCAATATTGCGCCGTTGGCCGTAGGAAGCGGCCCATCTACCCCGTATACCAGGCCTCCATGTATACCCCAGTGGGGGGAGTGGGACGGCCCGCTCGTGACTCTATCATTGATCTCCCTCTCATCCCCTTCCTGTACACCTCACCTCACCCGCCCGTCGCCGCGCTGCAGTCGTCAGAGTTGTTCTGCCCGGCAGCTTCTGAGCCTTTCACATCACCCAAGTCGGTTCGACGATTCGAAACGCACAGCAATGGCCGTGTCAAAGTCCTTTTTGGCCACCCTGGCTCTCGCCGGCTGGGCCTCCTCGATCAATGCCCAGCAGTTCGTGATGGGCAAGCAGTCCTACGATTCCATGGGGCTTAGCGCCCAATGTACCAAAGTCCTAAACACGGAGCTCGCGCATTGCAGCTCCGAGCTCTTTTGGCGGACGGATCGCACGATCGATAACGTGGTTGAGGTCCTTGGGCGCTCCCAGCTCGACGACATCTGCGTGCCGCAGTGTCGCGAGGAGCTGTCGGCCTTGCGGGAAAAGATCCTGCAGACCTGCACTGCTCCCGAGGATGTGATGCGAGACTCGGGCCTCGAGTTTCCTCGTAAGTGCCATCTTCTGCGATTCTGGTTGCAGCCTTGCGCTGACCTCGTGAAAGCGATCTACTTTGCCGACAAGTTCGCGTATACCTTTGACGTCAACTGCTACAAGCACAAGACCACCGGTCGGTTTTGCGACGAGGTGTACGCCGAGTGGAGAGAGGACAAGAGCAAGTTCGATCAGTGCGACGACTGTTACCTTGGACCGATGGCCATACAGCTTGCGTCCCCGATCGGGGTTTCTGCCCACCGCGCCGCCGCCTTCAACAGCACTACCGAGGCCTGCAAGGACACCAGCTATCAGTTCACCACGGCTATGCCCTATGCCAGGCCAGCTTCCACCACAACAGTCTCGTCGCAGGAAACCTCGCCCCGGCCCTGTGAACGGTCATACGTGGTGAAGAAGGGAGACACGTGCAACAGCATCGCCCTGTCGCAAAACACGTCCACCTTCGGCTTCATCCAGGCCAACAGTATCGGCATCGACTGCGCTGGGATGCCAAAGGAGGGCACCAAGCTGTGTCTTGACACACCTTGCGATACCTACATAATCCAGTCAGTTGAGCAGTCGCGTGCGGCCCCCAGATCCAGGGGTGATTCTTGCTGACCGACCTTGACAATAACCCAGAGCCGGAGACCAGTGCCACGCCATCGCCGACAAGTTCGGAATCAAATCGGCGCAGTTCAAAGCCATGAACCCCATGCTAGACTCAACCTGCTCCAACATCAAGCGCTGGGAGGGATACGTTGCCTGCGTCGGCCCCGCCAGTCTCGTCCCCCGGCAGGCGCCGGCAGAGCCGATGCCCACTACTCCGCTAAAGCCTCTCGCGCCCGGTTCCAGCTCCAAGTGCACCATGTTCGTCAACGGGCGAGCAGCCACGGATCCGGACCTCATCGCCATCGCAGACGGCTTCATGCCGCAATGGTTGGAGCCTGCGCACATTCGGTTCCTGAACAAGTGCAATGCCATAGCCGAGTACAATGGGGTCTACACGGGCGACTTCCTGGAGATGAACCCCAGTCTTTTGGAGAGCCGGGCGAAGGGCAGAAAGTGCGTCCTGGAGGAGGCGTACAGCTACTGCCTCGCCGAGGAGGGTGGGCCGGTGCCGAAGCTTCCGGAGGGGTGGAACAAAGCTTGGGGACTGCGCTGGGGCTGATTGATGCCATATTTCTTTGTGTGTGCTGAGACATTCAGTTTTCGTTGGACTACGTGACTGTCATGACGGTGGGCAAGCAGGTAGGTAGGTAATCAGTAGCCTACCTCGTAGTGGAAGTCAGCTCGAACGCCAAAATTTAGTCGGCACATACATACAGACTTCACTCACATGCGCACACGGAGACCAAATTTTCTCTCAAGCTGTCCCATAATCCCCCAAATCCTTTGCAAAATCTTTCACCTGCCATCTTGTTGGCCTGCCCGCATCGTACCTTGTGGATAGGAGCCTCACCAAATCATGCCATGCCAAGAGCGTATATTTTCGGATATTATGCCCCCATTGTGTCACCTTCCCTGAACCAAATGTGCGGAAATTTCTGTAGCTGCCGTCAAGACACTGAACTCGGCAGCCTGACCAGATACCAGTATCTGGACGCGTGACGAGTCTCGATACCCAGGCAACAGGCTCCCAGGCTCCCAGGCTCCAAAGCATGGTCGATGCCCCCCCC